TAATTGAGACTATTTCATTTAATAAATGTTTTGTTTTGATATTTATAAGTTGTTCGGGTTTTTTCATCTAAAAAAACGACATTAATTTCTTGACGACTTAATATATAGTGGATAGTCAATAGATTTTTAAAGTAGTGGTTGTATTTTCAGATAGAGTCTTGTTTTAAGATTTTTATAAGGTTGTAAATTTTAAACGGAAATTTCTTCTGTAAAGAGATCTTTATGTCATTTATGCTAGCTTGAAATATTTACGAAAATTCGGTTTAGTTTAAGGATAAAAATAAAAACTTTAAAAAGAAGCGTTTATGTGGGAAATTGGAAAACAAGAAGAGATGTTTAGTAATTTGTCAAACGAGTTTGTTAGTTCTAACCCTACAAAAAAATAATGAGTATTGTAACAAGCTTTAACTTAAGATCGAGTAATTTTTATTTCTAATCTTCATTAACTCTGGGTAAAGATTAATTGGAGCAACGGTGGCGTAAAAACGTTTAAAAAATAAATAAACGTCAAACATGTTATTGGTGTGAAAAACCTATACTCTGGAACGGAACGGTGTCTCAGTGATAAATCTAATTCCTTATAACACCAAAAATCGCATTTCGATACCCGCGGTAGACAGAGAATATATATCACATTGTTTAGATTTGTTTTGTGCTTAACAACTGAATAACAACAACAAAAAACGCAGTACGATGGAAACTCGAATAAATGCGTCGATCTGAATAAGTTACTAATATCGTCATCAGGGCAAAATTTAAAAGGCTTAAATCAATATAGAACAGTGTTTATTGCTTGTAATATTTCATATTTTATAAAGAAATCGTTTTGAAGTTTGTTCTACTTACAGTCTCTTCATGAGACCTGTACTGTATTGTAGAAATATTAACAAGTAAACTGTTATCGCAATTTGTAAACCATGACAACAGCCGACATAACCTTTGTCTCTTCTGTTCTGTTATCGTGTATCAGTTCCGTTTGTTTCATAACCATTGATTCAGCTAGTACAAGTTGTGGTATGTTTTCTATAAGAGAATACAAAGCCCTCTTTCAGCTTTGTAAATTGAAACCTAGGTTTCGGTCGTAGCTTCAGCAGCCAGATGTTTTACTGCGAAACAGTATTGGAGAAAACATTATAAATGTTTACCATGAAATGGGATCGGAGAAAATACTATATATATATATATATATTTACCATATCGGATATACTATATTTACCATGAAACGGGATCGGAGAATGTATTATAAATGTTTCCCATAAAACGGGATCGGATAAAGTACTTATAAATGTTTACCATAAAATGGGATCGGAGAAGGTACTATAAATGTTTACCATGAAACGGGATCGGAAAAATACTACAACTACTCATCCGGAAACAGAGTCGGAGAAGAAGTTATAACTGTTTACCAGGAAACAAAGCTGGAGAAGATGGTATAACTGTTTAGCATGAAATAACACCGGAGAAGATAGTGTGAATTCCTTTCAGACATCTATTGTTTTAAAATCTGAATCTGATGTAAAAATTAAATACTCACCGATAAAAAATCTAATGGGTTGAAGTTCAATCTGATCTCCAATGTTTTTTTATACCATTCTAAAGCTTCGTCAAGTTTTCCCAGAAAGTAAAGCACTCCTCCGAGACAATGCAGAATGGTAGAAACCAAACACCAGTTAGGCTCTGGACTCTAAAAAAAAAAGATACCATTTCAGAAATTAAGTCGAGAAAGATTTACTTAATGAGTGAGTGTCTGAAAATATTCAGTGAGAGAAGGTACTTTAAAGAAATTACAAAACTATCACCGGAAACTTAGAGAAGACAAACTGAACAAAAA